CAGGGAGGAACATCTTTTTTGTTGCCCTGCACAATCTGCTGAATTAACGAAAGAATGTAAAGCGATTACATGAGCTCTGAAATATTGGAAGGCATTAGGAAAAAAACATTTATCACCTGGTCTGTGAGTTTCTTAATGGCACAGCTATATTTTTCTTTTGAATCCCCAGTAGACCCTAACAGAGTACTGTAGAAAGTATATGAGAAGTAAATACACTGGAGGAAGAGATTTCTTTAGGGACACAGTGAAACAGAAGATATGCTTGATTTGGCTAAGACTGCATTTTATTCTTCTGTGAGTCTCCTGAACTCAGCCCGGTGCTTGGACCAGTGTAGGGAGATCTTAATAAATTATTTTTAATGAGTAGTATTTCTTGACTAAGAGTCTAGTCTCCACAGAATAAGGTCTATTACTCTTGGCAAATGTAACCAAGACTAGCATGCCCATTATTTTACATAAAATCTCCCAAATGTAATATGAATCACCTGTTACCACTGTCTTTCATAGTTAATTTTTCAGCAGAGAGTCTACAAATAATACTAGTTAACTGAAATGTCATAATTTTATTTCCTGTTCAATCTCTCTCAAAGACATTTTTCGTGAAATGGCCAAGAGCAGTTAGCAAAAAGGGTCCTGGACAATCATATGAGACTAATCCAGAATCAAATGTGAGCACGGGCATAGACATACTTTTGTAAATACCCATTCAAAATAGGACTGAATGAACTATAAGTCATTCTGAAGTTGAGACGTACCATGAAAAACCACTGGTGTTTAAAACCAAAAGTTTATATACTGAAATAGGGAAAAAGACTACTCTGATCAGGTAACTACACTGGTTTTATCTACATCCTAAACAACACAGATTTCACATATATAAAATAATATGCTGCGTGTGTGTGTGTATTTAAAAGACATTCATAGGAACACAATTCAGTTGGGAAATAGAAAAGAATGTGAAGATTTCCCATGAACCCCTCGCCCAGAAAGGATCAAGCAGCTTTAGAGAACAGAAGTTGTCTTCATGGTAAAGGATGTGAAACTCCCATTGCCTTCTTCACTCCTGCCACCCTGCACTCACCCAGAAGCAGCCTCCATTTCTCTTTTATGTTAACAACCCAAGAATTGGCTGTATACCAATGAACTTACTCAGATAAACACAATGTGGTTTTGTTTTAAAATAAGCCTTTACTGAATATATCAACAAGGTACTGTATAGAGTAGAGTGAAGTTTGTCGTTACAAAGTGTGCAACATGACCGGTCTCAGAGGATGTGTGATGCAGAATCTCCCAGCCCCTGGTCAGAGAGAATTCACTAAACGTAAACCAGAAGGAAATTGACCTATGGTTCAAACAGTAACAGATCACCAGGATTAACTTTCAGTGAATGTGTACTGGTCCTACGAGGAACACACAGTTGGCCATGTCTTCACCGTGCTGCACCTCTGATTGGTTACAAATCTTACACCCCACGGATCCCTTTACAAATGCCCCTGTGTGTGTGTGTCTGTGTGTGTATGCATGTCTGTGCATATGTTCCATGCTAATTTGAAAATGCCTGTTGCGATGACCTTGTGTTGTGCTCTTTTTGTGAAAAAAAAAAAAAACTATAAACAAAAGAATCTATTTGGCTGTAACATCATATGTATAGAAAACTTCTCCACAGTCAGCGACAAGCATCCCCCATTGCCAAGAAGTGTCTTTAGAACCTGCTGAAGAAGTTAGAAAAGAATGCAACAACTTCTTACCATTGTATTTTGACTGTAAAAAGTATAGCAGGCAAGGCTTGACAAGACCAAGAACTAGAAGGGTTGTGCGTGTGTGTATGTGTTTGTATCATTTTTTCTTTGGGATGCTGTTTTCTGCTTTACTTTCCCACATAGCTAGAAGGGTATGTCATGAGCAAAACTACTCTCACGTTCTAAAGTAAAATGTATTGTCTCCTGGTTACAGGTTAGAGGAAAATGCTAGAAACAAAGACGTCAATGGAAATTAACCACTTCTCTGTTTAAAAGCCGCAGTGGACTCCACAGCTGAGCTTTGCCCATCAAGAGAAGCACGTCCCCCCTGTGGGCTATGACCCTGTTGCCTTGTGTCCGTCTTGAATGATGCTTTGCTCAGGACATGAAGAGCCTGTCCTCCCCAGTGGGGAAGGAAGATCTGATCGCTGTGAGACAACTAAACCCATCATGATCGGCACTAGCAGGAGATGGAGCTGTGATGTGGCAGCTGCTTCACTAACACTTGGCACCAGACTGGTCACGTGACACTTTTTGTTTTTAACCTCGGGGAAAATGTCTGATATATTTTCAGTAAACATCCAAAGAATTAGGGAATTAGAAATTGCACCATAGGGGAGAATGTTTTCCACCCATTACACAAAGAAAACAGACAGAGGGGTGCATTCCTCGTATCTGTCAGTGACCATCCCATGGGAGAGGCTAATTCACCTGGTCCTGTTGGAGAGAAGCCCAGGGTCTCTCCACGACCCCACACATTTCTCCATCAAGTAGGTATCAACAACTACCCTGAATTGCCAATATGTGCATGGGATCATAGCTATGCCGTTTCCTTTGGAGTTTCCTCTTACGGTTATTGGTACTGAGCTTGGAAAGCACTCAGATACCACCTGAAATCACGTCACTTCATTGGACAGCATCAATCTCTTTATAAGCCAGTGAACATAGCTTTCTTCGGTGGTGTTGGCCTGCACTTTCAATCTTGACTTTTGACTAATCTCTCAAAATACACTGTAATGACAGCAAGAGTGGCCCAAAAGCAGAGTGCATGTATCAGCAAAATCTACTCCCATGACTAAAAATGCCAATCAAGGCATAATCCCCCAGGGATGGTTGTTCAGCAATTTCCATAAGACACATCAGACATCACATATTCTGTGATGAAGTGCTTTCTCTCCTAGTCTAGATGACAGCCCATGTATAACAGATGAGGGACTGATTTTAATTTTAGCACTCTTGGTCATGTGCACAAGATCACAATAAAGTCTATAACTAGATTCTACCCCTTTAGCAATGCCTTCTAGCAGAGGGATCATTTCAGATCATCCCAATTATTTCACATGATGGGGTCTCCGTTGTACACAACTTAGGCCCAGGTAATTCTGTGAATTCCACAATTCATTATATAAACCTTGTTCTTCCTGACCCAAAGCAAAGACATTTCAGCAGTCAAAAATCTCGCTGGAGATTAAACAAACAACACAAATAAATGAGAATGATTATTTTGTGGATAACAGAAATAAAAACCCTCGAAAGCCAAAGTACCATCATTTGAACACATAGTTTTATCTACACAGCCAAGGGTAAGAGGACAGTGCTAAGTACACAAAGTCCCATGTCATTGTTCTGATTATAGGTGGCTTTCCGCTACATGGATGAGTTTCACAGACTGTTTTTTTCCTTCACTGCGTGGATCTAGCTTAAAAAAACAAAAACAAACAAAAAGAAAACCAGCCCAAACCCTCTAGAGCTAATAGACTAAAATGGAAACCAGAGTCACTTCAGAATTAATTTAAATTAATTCATAGCTAAGTTCAGCTCCATTGACTGCACAGTTTCAATTCTTGTGTCTACAACATTATAGCTTCAGTTACATTTTCTGCTTATTCCGAAGGACAAAGGAGACTAAAACATATAAATTGGGTGTATATTATTAAAGAAAATAAAGTTCTTACTATAAAGAAAAAGTTGCATAGCATTTTATACCTAAACTTTTACAAAGAAGACACATCACAGTTTTCTTTTGCTGAGAGAGAGAGAGAGAGGGAAAACTAGATGATTGTGACAATTACTTCATGGGTCCCTAAACTAATGGCCAGTGGTAAAGGAGAAGGGAAGCACAGAATGAAATGTCTAATTTCAATTTCAAAGAGAATTTTCCAAGGGAGTAGTTTAGACAAGTATGTGATCTATAGCCCTTCTATATCTAAGGGATGGCGTGGATTAAATTATGCATGTTTTCTGAAGGTGGAACACTGCTTCAAAAATACCTAGAATTGAGCACAGACATCCCGCTATTCCTTTGCCCTCTGCTCTATGCCCTGCTCTGCCAGGATTAGGGGAGTGAGCTTTCACTCTCTGACTTGTTCATTTTTCATTGGTTGTCCTGCTATTGTAAGATTGATTATCCCTCTACAATTCCCAACGTAGAAGAACATCCACAATGAAAAGGAACAAATAAAATTTCAAAAGTAGAACAGAATAAAAGTCAGTTCAAGCTGGAAACTAGGTATTGCTAAAAAAAAAAAAAAAATGCATTATTTTGGCCAGCTTTGATGTATCCTTACAGAATTACAAGCAGTGAAAATTAGTACGCATTTTAAAATGTGTTAAATACAAATGGATGTTTTGTGCAGCCAAAAATGGCATCCATAATTTTCTTTGAAACACTGAGCAGAGGGGGAAAAACAAAGGTGGCTTAAACAATTATGAAAAAAATATGGGAGATGATTGGAAGACAAGAATCTGTGAAGGAATAAAGGTATTAATTCAAGCTATTTCAACATGATACTAGCAAAGTCAGTTGATACAGAAGAACAGAATCACTGACCAGTTGTCTTTGTCTAAATAGTAGCCATGATTTTTACAGAAGTCATTGTAGTATATACTTTATACACTGATCCCTTGTTGGTCTAAATATCATGTTGACATAGCCTCAGTGAATCTACCCAAATAATTCTCATTATCAAAAATAATTCCATTCAATATAATTCTTCCCTTTAATTTTATTAGCCTCTTCTAAAAAAAGTATTCTAGAATATAACTCTGTTGAATGTGATTCAACCTGATGCGTGATTGGAATAGTAACACTTTCAAAGGGAGTTTCTTGCTAGGACATCAGAACTGTCCCTGAAGATGACTGAATCAGACTCAAGCCTCTAACCCTTTATCACATAGGGCCAGGGAAGCCAGGAGGGAGATTTTTAAGCTCCCAGTCAGAAAGCCAACCCTTGGGTTTTAAGGATTTTTTTTTTCCAAATCTCATCTCAATTTTCTTAAATCTGTCAGATTGGGTTAACTTATCCCATGGGAACTGGCTTCCTCTTGATGCTTTCTGTGTTTCCTGCACTGGGTCAAATCAGGGCAACCACCTCCATTCATTTTTACAGAATTTTTTACTTGTCTTCCAGACCAGGAGGTATAGAAACAGCAGGAAAATATATGGGCCATTTCTTGTTTCACCGCTATGATCCATCTTACCCTGATGAGTCCATTTTAATGTGCCCTTTATCTGACCACCAGGAATTTACTCTGACAGCTTCAACAGCAAAGTGGTTAATGTGCATTACAAGGAAGAATCACTTGTTCTTTTGCCTTGGCGTTGGGTTCTCATTGTACAACCCTGTACAGTACTTCAGCAACTATTTTTTTCTTTTAAGATTTAAAAAGCAAAGAGTTACAAAACTGTTTGTAATTAACTTGGAATAGAAAAGATAGCACTTTGTTTTTAAATCCCATTATATAGTACACCGTATAAATTACAGAGTATTCAAATGCACAAATGCATCTGTGTAACATTTATCAAATGTAATTTGCGTGTCTCTACGTGCACACGTGGGTGTGATCTCCAGAGTCTTATCTTCCGCCTTGATCAGTGCTGGGCCTCCGGCCGTCACGTGTGGCAGTGCTCCAGGTCTGGCACGCTGCTGTTGCAGAATCGCATGTTGTTAGGGATATGGCAGTCTGTGTAATTAATGCCCCCGTTTGGGGTGTAAATGGGCTGCAGTCTGAAATCTCCTTTAAGGAGCTGATCGTTATTTAAGGAGACGATCTGAAAACTGGTTTCTGTCATCTCCAGGATGGAGTTGTCCTTCTTGGTACCCGCCTCGCAATAGTCGTCTTTCCGCCGGCCCCGGTTGTATTTCCACTTCTGGGAGGTGTAGCGCCCCTTTTTGTGCATGTGCCAGCAAAAGACGCTGAGCAAGACCACCAGCACGAATATCACTGCGCCCCCGATCAAGCCCGCCAACAGGAAGGGGGAGCCCATGCCGTGGGAAGTCGTCTGCTCGTGGCTGGAAGCCGTGTTGCTGCCATTGTTCAGATAGGAGGCATGGGTGGTGGCCTCAGAACAGATGGTGTCTTCTATGGCACGGTAGTTAAAAGCATCTAGTGGTACTAAACAAATCCGGTAGGTGGATCTGGGCTCTAAATTAACCAGGCTCAGATGTTGCTTCTCACCACTGACGATGCGTTCCTGAACAATGCCCCCTACTAAACTGTGGCCCATTTTCACCCAAGTGAGTTTGTACGCTGTCACGGTAAAGAGAGAGAGCCAGCTGACTTGAATGGAAGTATCATTCACAAAGTGGATGGAGAGTTGGATCCGTTCGGAAATAGGCGGAGTCACTCTGTCTCTGCCATCCCAATCAGGAACCGTGGGGAGTTTGGAAGTGGTAGGGGCCGGAGGCGTGTGGCCTCTGCTTGGGCTGGGAACTGAGAGAGTGGGGGGCTGAGTTGTCGGGGAAGCTGTGCTCGGGGCTGGGGTGAAGACAGGCAGGCCGGGGGTCGTGGTGGGACATGACAAAAGATTCATATTCAACTCCCTGACAGCCATCCCTCGGACTTGTTCAGGACCTTGGCACATGAAACCCCGCACGTTGAGAGATGAAGGGATGTATTTGAGCCATTCTGTGACCCATTTAATACTGCAGTCGCAAAACCAAGGGTTATTCCGAGCAGTGAGCTGCTTTAGGTTGGAGAGATTATCAAAAACCCCTTGAGTCAGCATTCGCAGTTGGTTGTTGGATATATCCAGCCGTTCCAGCTTCCGGAGATTGGAGAAGGCTGTCAAAGGGATGTGGTTTATCTGGTTGTCCTGCAAATACAGCCTGATCAGATGCGTACCTGGCAGATCAGGAGGCGGGTGGGAGAGTGAATTCCGTACGATTGAAAATTCCTTGAGCTTGGTGAGATGGCTGAAGGTGCCCTCGGCAATGCCCTTGTTGGTCAGGAGGTTCCCATCCACAATCAGACGCTCCAAGCTCGTGAGATTCTGAAAGGCCATGTCTGATATGACAGCAATGCGATTCTCATCCACTCTCAGCTCTTGCAAGTCCACAGGAAGCCCGACGGGCACGCTGCTCAGGTGGTTCTTAGACAAAAACAACAACTTGAGGCTAATCGCCTCCCGGAAGGCCCCGTCCTCAACCCCCACTGTGGATATAGAGTTGTCATCCAGGTGTAGCTCTTCGAGCTTCAAGAGCTGGGCGAGAGCAGCCCGTGAAATGGTCTGAATGTTGTTTTCCTGCAAGTGGAGAACTCTGACGTTCTTGGGAAGGTTCATGGGGAATTCGTCCAGTTGGTTGCCGTACAGGTAGACCGTGTGCACTGACCGCACGTTGTGCAGCTCCGCAGGAAATCCAGCATTATTAATTTGGTTGTTGTGGAGGTAGAGTACGGTTACGCCCTCCGGGATCCCAAGAGGCACTGAGGTCAAGCTCCGCTCGTTACAGTACACAAAGTTCCTGTCACAGCGGCACACGGAGGGGCAGGCCAGGAGTTTGGTCACCTGTGAGTACAGCCCCAGGGAAATGATAAGCCAAGACTTCAGGAAAAAAGCCCCACAGCTGGGCCACTTTGTGGTCTGTAGGCCCATTTCTGAAGTACGTAAATAAAATACAATGTGCTGGGGAAAAGAAAAAGTAAAAAAAAAAATAATAATAACAAAATCAAAATGACTAGACGAGGTCCTGTCAAAGTCCAGAACTCCAGCTATAGAAAATGTCCTGATGGCATCCGGTAAAATAATCTTCCTGCTGTCACTGGTCTTATCATCTGGTCTTGGCTTCCTTGCTGTTGTCCTCCATGTGCAAAAAATATATAAAATTCAACAGGGAGAATTTTTCACACAGGCAATCGGTGATGCCAAGTTATCGGTGGTTTGGGCAAGCCCAGGGAGGCAGGCAGAGCTCCCTCCTTCTTGTCTGGGTCAGGCCAGCCTTGATGAGCCTATGAACTTCTTGGTTAAGCTCAGTCTGCAATCTGTTGTAGGAAAGAAAAGAGGAAATAGTCAGGTAAGGGGAGAACAGGAAGAAATGCCCACACGACTATAACTCTTTCAGAAACAATGCCATTGGGACTAAATTTGGAGAAGTGGGGGGAGGGTGGTGGTATTTTAAATAAGAGAAATTTAAATGGTATTTTAAATAAGAGTAATTTAGTTGAACTGGCATTCCAGAAACAAATCATTAAAATATCTTATCCTCAACAGGAAACCATACACCACCTATTCACTATCAATAATCACATTGCAGAATTTACCATCCTACTCAGTGCCTTCTCTGAAATATCTACTTGCATATCTAAACAGGCACAGTGCTGAATCCACTGAGTCAGTTAACTGTCACCACGCACAAATCCTATTGCTCACGGTCTTGTTTCAACATGGAAAACTGAGCAACTGGTAGAAACAAGAGGAAAAATGTGAAACCCCACCCAGTTATCCATTTTGAAAGTGCAAAATGAAGACTCAAGAAAGTCATTTAAGAAGATGAAGATGCATCCTTATTAAAAAGGTATTCCTAGTGCCTTGTTTCCAAATACAGTATCCAATCTTCCATACACTATGCTATAAAAAAGCTCTTAGCTATTGCCTTCTCCTTTTAAAATGTTATTTAAAATATTTTTAAATAACAATTTTTTTTATTAAATTATCACTGTGTACATTAATGCAGTCATGGAGTACAATGTGCTGGTTTTATATACAGTTTGAAATATTTTCATCAAACTGTTTAACATGGCATTTTCTTAGTTATTGTGTTAAGATGTTTATATTCTACATTTAGTAAGTTTCACATATACCTTTGTTAAGATGGACCATAGGTGTGGTCCTGACAATTACCCTCCCTCCACCCATCCTCCTCCCTCCCCTCCCCTCCCTTTCCCCATATTCTTGGGCTATAATTGGGTTATAGCTTTCATAAGAAAGCTATAAATTAGTTTCATAGTAGGACTGAGTACACTGGATACTTTTCCTTCCATTCTTGAGATACTTTGCTAAGAAGAATATGTTCCAGCTCCATCCATGTAAACATGAACAAAGGTGATGCAAAAGCTTATTCATGCCTAATACAGAACTTCAGAAAATGCAAAGGATATAATATAAAGATGGTTAAGATTGTTCCTATTATCTATCACTCCAACCTATCTGAACAAATTGGTTTATTTACCTCTTTTTCTACACATATGCTTAACTAAACTGGAATCATTATTTTTCTTATTGCTACCTAATGGTAGGTCATGAGCACATTCCTAGGTCACTAAAAAGTCATTCAGTCATTCACTGAAAAGATGCATCTTAGGGACCACCTGCAATGACACACTATAAACATAATGCAGAGACGGAAGGCTGAAGGCAGAGATGACTTCTTCCTTCCCTGCTTCCTGCCTCCTCTCCTCTTTATCTTCTTCCAAAATAGCTTATGCTGGCATCACCAAGGAGAATGGTCATGCTCCAGCACAGGACACATTTCTACTGATGAGATACACCGTAGCGATCTGCTTTAAGAGTTGTAAAGCTTGTGACTTGGGACAAATTATCTTTCAACAACACTTTCCTCCTGTCTGTGCTTCCCTGTTGTATAGAGGACTTTTAGCAAATTTTGAAATGATGGAAGACACAGTTGAGGAAGTCCAGGCAATCTGCTGATAGTAATCATGCCTCCTTGTTCCAGAATGAATTCCATCTGGTTTTAGATTAAAGAGGCAAAGAAGTTAATTGAAAGGTGCCAGGTTTGATTTCCCTACAAAATAAGTGGACATGACAGGACACGGCAAGCCACAGGTCTCTTAATTCTCACCCATACACAGAGACTGAAACAGCTTACATCTACAAGCACAGAGGAACTATTTGAAAGTGTTCCCTTGGCTATCTTTAGTGTTATAATTTAAAAAGAAGAAAAAAAAAAAACAGTGGATGTGTTATTTAAGTGTCAAGGATATTGTAAATTTGTTTTACAATTCTGAAGGTTATAAAGCATCTAAAAAAATGCCTCTGATGACCAGAAATAGTAAAATTCATTTGTTGTTTAGGAATCTTAAAAAGGGGGTGGAGGGAGAATCTCTTTCCAGGAAAAAAAAAATCAGAAAGATGTGATGTGATGCTTTATAAAAATTCAAGGATTATTTAATTAAAAAAAAATCCTTGCAAATGTATGTTTTGCCATTGAAAGGGAGTCATTTCCGCTGGAAGAAATCTTTCTATATGCATAAAGAATAATGTATACAATGAAAAGTAAGCATAAGAAAACATGAGTTTAATTCCATCACCTGAATGCCATCCTTAGCTCAAATGTCAAGCCATCTTAATGTTCCCTAATATCCTACTAGTGAGGCATAGGCTTTGGTCTAGTAGCCCAGGCCTGACTTGGGAAGCTGGCAGAGTCACAACTCTACAGCCCCAGAATCTGCATGTCACCAAGAGCCCGGGTGAGCACATCAAAGTTTGAGAAGCACTGCCCCAAACACCACCCTGACATCTTATTTAATTGTTCACGTTTTAATTGACTAACTGTGAAATAAAGGCAAGCGCCTGTCCCATGACTCCTCTGAGAAGAGTGGAGGCACAAGGCATACTAATCACTTCTGTCCGCAGGAGACAGTCTCAAATTACATCTTAGATGTAAATTACTTCTGCCAGGTGGAGCAGTGTGCAACAACTATGTATGTCACTTGGCCTCAAAGGAAAAATGTTTATCTGGATACAAAGGCAGAGTTATTTGCAATCAGAGGAGCTCACTTCTGTAAAGCATTTAAGAACAACAACAAAAAAAACCTCCCCCCATTTACTGCTATTAGCATTTACTCTTCAGAAGAGGCAGAACAAGGAGAGACTTAAGAAAAGAAGCTAATAGGTTTTTGCGCATTCCTCTGTAATCTTCAAGGTGTGACAGTGGCACACAATGAACAAAATGTCCTAAGTGGGAAAAGCTGCAGCATGAGGGTCTCTACGTTCTTGTCTAAAAAAAAAAAAAAAAAAAAAGAGTTGCTTCTAAAGTGTCTGTACAAGCCAAGTGTTCAGGTCCCAAGAAACAAAGCCACACTTGAGGATGACAGCCCTTACTTCAAGTTCATCAGCTGACTGCCTCAAGGACGTTATCACGGGAGTTAACCAAGTACTCAGGGATGGATCAGGAAAGTATTATGATGCATCCAAATTGTAAATTTTCCACTTGCCTGACCTGCATCTTCAGTAAGGAAAGAACAGGCTTCATCAGCCCTCTGCCCCCCCATCTTGCTCTCTTGCAGGCATATTTTACTCCTGAGCGCTTCTTTTATAATTATGTAAGAAGATGATGTGATCCTGAAGAAAGCTCCTAATAAGATTACGTGGGGCAAACTGTCACTGTTCATACAACTTAATAGAAGAAAAGACTCATCTAAATCACAATGTGTTGATCGGCTATGACAAGTTCAATGTTGAAGGAAAATAAACTCTCTTTGCTCTTCTTGGGAATCCCACAGCGGCACAGAGCAGATTTGTTCTGAGGCTTCCATCCACAGCCTATGCATGTCAGTCAATACACTCTATTTGAATCAGCAGAAGTGTAAAATTACAAACACTTAGGCCAGAAGGATGTTACTTACATTTTTCAATTTAAATGCCCTCTGTATTTTCAGCTGCAGTTCCTAATGAACACTGAGCAGAGATCTGTTTAGACTTTAAGCTGAAGACCGTGCTTACCCAGAAAGCAAGATGATATAAAGGTGAAACACTCAGGCCTGTGTTCTCATCCCACTTCTGTCACGGATTAGCCCCCCAATTTTGGATATATATTTAACTTTTCAAGGCTTAGTCTCTTCATCTGGAAAACGAGGATCAAACTAATAGTTGATCACAGCATGTTGAAGAGAACTAAATGAAATATTTGTGAAATGCTTGTAAGGTACAGGAACATGAAGAAAATGTCATAAATGTATTATTTTCTACGTAATTATGACGAATGATATCCAAAAAGGTGAACTCCAATATGTAGAACTAAATAGAATCGCTTTTGACCTATCAAGTTCTAGGTCTCCAGGGTTTCTCACCCTTGGCACTCATGACGTTTTATGCTAGATGATTCTCTGTTGTAGGCTGCAATGTGCATCCAACACGTCCTCCAATGTTATCATTTATAAATATGTCCCAGGGGGAAGCAAAATCACTCCTGGTTGAGAACCGCTGACCTACCCCAGCTTACAAGTGCTTTACAAAGTTAGCATTATTACTTTAATATTCTGCAGGAAATTGAAGATAAGTTTCTAATAAATATAACTTGAAAAGCCTTCGTGTCAGGGACACCAGAAAAGCATAAATGAATAAGCTTTTTATTCATTTATCCAACGGATATCTACTGGGCAGTAAAACGAGGTCACAGCATAGACAGAGCTGACATGGATTCTGGCCTCATGAAGATTAAAGCTCTGCCGAGAGAAACGAGTATGCAAGGAATTAGGGTGCCCTGTTCAGAGCTCTAACACTAGAGCACCATGTCATTAGGGTGCTGGGTAAAAACCTCTTCCCTAGTCTTTGGGGCATGAGGAAAAGGGCTGCAGGGGAAAGGATGGCCTCTGTGAAGAGCCGATGGAAAAGAAGGCCCAGGCCAGGGAAGAGACCCAAGAAGTTCTGAACACAGATACAAGCTGCAGGTGACGTGAAGCAAGATGAATCTCAGGTGAGCCGAGAGAAGGAGCAAAGGTACACAGAGCTTTCCTCCCCTGCGGCGGCTGCTTCTCACCCATCGCTGTCCTTCTACAACAGTGATTTTCAACTTGCATGCACAGTGGTGTGTCACGAGAGGATCTTAGGTACGCGGCGAAAACTTTTAAAGATCATTAATTAAATTATTTTTGAAATAAGTTTCAAGGCCCTGAAAGTATATCCTTTTTTTTTTTTAACATTTTTTTTTTTTTGGATCAACATAATTTAAGTGTGCTGTGCAAGTCTATAGGTTCAAGTGTGCTGTCAGATGTGAAAGGTTAAAAAACACTGTTCTAGAAGA